AAACTAATAGCCAGACTGCTGTGAAGTTTATATAGCTGCTGCCAAGAATACAATCCCTTTCCATTCTGGACACTATGATATTTCCTCTAGTGCCACCAACAGACTAAAATACGAATCCATTAAATATACTGAGCACATGATTTTCCCCAAGAGGATAATGAGATGTCAATGAGGCCGTGCACTTTCCTCCGATATCAACCTTGAAATAAAGTGTGAAATCCCTCTGATAATAAGGCTCCAAGAATAACAATATCATCACTATATTGGTTCATCTACTGCTAGTGTGGAAATGAATATTACAGCCTTCAGGGGTCACAGCAGGCTTTACATGTGAAGTCTTGTTTTGTCAATAAAGCAGTAGCAAAGGAAGTGAACTGACTGAATACATAATAATGACAGCAGTGACTGACTGCTTGCTAATCAATGGGTCACTCGTTGCAAAAAGCAAAGAGATGGCCATCATTATATTAACAATTGCTGTTTTTAAAGCAAGATTTTGTAAAGTTTAATAGAAGAAATAATGCACACCTCTTACAAACAAGAGTTGAATTCATAAGCATCAACAGACTCAGGGGTTCTGCTGCTACAGCCTTACTTGGTCTGGTATGACCAGTAGATTATAATGGCCAACGTTAGCTAACTTTAGATAGAATAAGCTGTGTAACTGACATTACTGAGTCAGTTTGCTGACTTTATGAGTCTTCTTTACTTGTGCTTACATTTTAGCATTTGTCATTATCCTGCAACTGTATCTTGTGGCAACAGAAATTATAATAATATAATAATAAAACATATTTCCACTATTATTGCCCTCCTATGTATATAGGATGCCTAACATGCTTTGTGTGACCATTAGTTGGTACATTTTAAATACCACTTTATGATGTCTTTGTTTTTTTCCCTTAAATTAATAAACTAGACATTCCCAAAGTACCCTTCATTTTTGTCATAACTTTACAAAACTGTGTACTATGTTAAGGAATGTGACTTATTCCTCTAATCCAACTCATAGAAGCTCAATTATCATAATCTAATACATCAGGATTGTAATAAATCCTACATTTATGCAGCTCATCATATTTAGTTGACACTATTGCAGAGAGCTTTTAGTCATCATCAAATGTCTCATGGTCATTTTGAATACAGGTGCTGTTGAACAGTATTGTGATTTGCTGAAAAGTGTTTTAAACATTTCAACCATCCCTATATTACAGTAAACTAGCATCTCAGTGTACATACAGTGTATGATCTTTTATCATTACAATCAAATTATTATTTATTTTCCATCAGCTTTCAGTTATCCCTGCCTTTAGTGATGCCTTTGTTGAGTACTCTGGGTTAGACTTTTGATATGAGGATGATATTTTGGTGTATTTATCTACGCTGTAGAAACCATCAGCAAGAAAATACCCACTCTGTCCTCTTTAGTATCGGCCAGAAACAGTTAAAGACAAGATGGTGGTTTGACAGAGCCTTTGCAGGATAATTAGTGATGTACTCTGTGCAGATACGGGGCAGATACGGGGCAGATACGACACACACACTGACAAACTCACAAGCTGGCACTTTTTCTGCCTATATTCAACAGTGGATAATGATAAAAATACATTTAAAGTCCCGCTTCTCTACAGTCTTCCCCCTTGTTTCCCTCCAGTAAGACCCAGCCATGGCCAGTATAGCTTGTGGTAATGATGGTGGTGCGAATTGGATACCTTGCGGGTAGAAACCAGAGCAGGTCACTGTATACCGTGATAACATTCCCGAATCCACACGCCAAGTTTCCCTTTGCCTCCTCCTTCTCCACTTTTCCACTCCCCTGCTCCCTCTCTCCTCCTCTGCCTCTCCCTCTCCTCTGCTTTCATTTCCCTCTACTTTCCTTGATATCTGATCCAGCAGAGACACTCAGGTTACAGTTTTTACAGCTTAGCCAGCCCAGCGCTGTATACATTCCTTTCTCCACTGTTTCTTACCCCACTCTCCAGCCTCTCATATCCCCTCTATGCCCACTCCTCCTTCTGCTTGATTACTCACCGGGGCTTATTTTACCGTGGCACACATTAAGGAGCCAGATGAAGGAAACACTGTCAGACTGTTTGGTTTTTCGGAGGAGTATGATCCCTCACAAGGACACATTGTGTGTCTGCGTGTGTGTTTTTTCCTCCAACTTTGGTCTGAAATATTGAAGATGAGAGAACAAACTGTCTTTTTGTTCTGAACACTTGCAATAGAAGAATCAAAGAGTTTTCTTCAGAAAATCAATTCATTAAACTTCACTTACTGGATTTACTGTTCTGGTTGTAGGCATGCTACCATGTCATAGTGTTAATTAACTGCCACTCTGCAGGTCATAATGCTGGAACTGGGCTTAGGTATAATACTCTCATAACCATGCAATATACTCTTTTTACCTTTTTTTAACATGATTCCACTCGATCCCGTAATGTCCAATAACAGTGAAGGTATTTAAAGAGGGTCTGCAGCTATTTTCTACTTCACTAGTTTCTATCTTTGGATCACTGTTTTATTAAATTAAATTTGTAGAACGCCACTTGTGATGCGTGTGTGTGCGTGTGCAATAGGAGATGAAATTCAAGGTTGCGTAATGAGCTACAATCGAACTTGTTTAGCCTTTGAAAGTGTTTTGACACCTTAACCACATCTGCTGCTCCATTCAGTAGCTTCCCCAGGTATTGATGGGGATACTGAAGTTGTCAGTGTTGTTTATTTTCCTACACACCAACAACACAGCACTATATCTGATGTATTCATTTTTTTTTAAAAATCCACCAGCTACTGACATTTTTATTTGGTCAGGCACATCCTCAAATTCAAAAACTCAGACCCACAATTTGACTGATGACAGTCAGATGACAAATGAAGGCGCTTTGATCAAATGAGATGTTTAACTGACATGTCTGCTCTCCAAAACATATTGAAAGAGATGTCAATTCACTGAATCCTGAATGATGACCCATGTCACAGCATCTGTCATCTGAATGCAAAACTTACAAACCTGCAAATAATAAAAAATAATCATTTCTGACTGATGGCTGACATCAAATAATTATGTCATCAGATGTGATAAATTATAAGAGGAGATTTTTTTCCCACCCTGACTCCAGATAGATTCATGGTAATAAATGTCTTTCTGCTGTAATGATAAAAATGACCAAATAAAACCTGGACTTGTGTGCTACAAATGTGGCAAGACAATGCTTCATTGTGCCTAAACGATGCTTGTAAATATTTCCTCCATTCTGAATGCTCCACTGAGACCACCTCAAGTGCTCCCCTGATAAAAAATAAGGAAATTTCTCCATGCAGAGACCCTGTCTGACACCACCCTGCATCCCTCCCTGCTGTCATCAGGACCAGACAGCAGGAGGATGGTTATTTTTTCTCAAATGGAAAACCATTAGAAATATTCTTAATTTCATCAGGAAGAAAATTCCAGTGTAAAGGGCAGTTAAAATCCTGTCATTAATAGAAATCCCATTTCTCTGGACCTCCGGTGCAGTTATAGGTAACAAGCAAGGAGAACTCTGAAAAGGTTTGCATCTGTTCAAGCTGCCACTAAGCAGAGCACACAAGGAAAATACCTACAGTAAAATACAGTAGTCTAGATTACACTCAAATACACAAAAAATTATGAAATAAAAAAATTTAATAAGCTACTTCATCAATTCAATAGTATTGTAGTTTACTGCCCGTTCCCGTTGCTCTGTAATAATAATAAATGCATGTTTGGCAGCTGAGCTCATCAACAAAGCATCTACATTGTCATCAATAATAAGAACTATATTTTTTACAGTTACAGAGGAGAAGCGGTGACACATGAACGCGGCTGGTATTTTAGACAGGTCTAAATGCAAAAAGGCTTTATCCCAGGGTTGCTTCAGGACTCGCTCAAAGCCAGCACCCTCGCTTTTCCTCCGACTGCCTCAAAATCCCTATCTCCACTTTTATTCTCGATGTGATCAGCTGCATATATCTGAGTACATGTGTGTGTCTCCAGCCAAATGTGTACAAACAATGAAGAGATGAAGACAAAGCGGACACACAGCCTGCCTCTCTCTCTCTCTACACACACACACACACACACACACACACACACACACACACACACAACCAGCCAGGAACACTTTCTTTCTCCACAATGAACCGCACGGAGAGCTCAGAGCTCAAATATCACAATGTGCACCGAGCAAAAAATAAAACACGAACAGAAACGTGCGGGTGATTATTGGAATAGGGTCGTGCAGGCCGAACACAGGAGACAATGTGTTCTTGTCGAGTGCGTAAAGCTCACAGACGCACATCTGGATCACACGCCTCTGGGCAGCTGGGCAACACACACACACACACACACACACACACACACACACACACACACACACACACACATACATATAAACACAAACACACACCTAGACTCAGAGGCAAACCCACGCAGTCGACATGGACCCGCAAAAGCATCGGATAGGCGAGTGTTCCCCCATTGATTTATACTAATTATGCACATTGGCTGCTCTCCGTTGCCCCGTAGTGTAATAGTATTAATAGTAATAGTAGAGGCACTGTTGACGCCTTCACTGACGCACTGGATTTTCCATTAACTCTGGGTAAGCCATGAAAGGCAGCGCACACAAACGGCGAAATTATGACATGAAGCGACGAGAACGTACACCGTATTCTTCGCTGATTCAAAACTTCCTCGTAGAATAGTAGCAGTGAATGGGTGCCGCATCCATTGTGCAAGGCGGTAGGTTTGGCAGGGTGCGCTGCTGAGGCTGCCATTCAGCGTGGATACATGACAATAGAACTTGGGTGAAAAAAAAAATCATAAATCAAAGTTTGACTATCACGCAGCCAATTGCACTTGAGTGTATCCTATATTTCCACTGAGGACGCCTGCTTAGTGCTTCCACAGACATGCACGCTCCTCACAAACCACTCCACGCGTAATCACATGCAACTGGGCACAGACCCCTTGTTATTACCTTCATCTCTTCATTTATCTCCCTTTTCACCGGGTGAGCTGGTTTTCGGCTTCTTTTATTTTCCGGAGGTCTGCCCTCTTTTTCCATCTCTGCCATGTTTTCTCTGTGATACTTCTGTCAATATTTGCGGTGAGGAAGGGAGAGGAGGGGGTGAGAGAGGCAGCGGCAGCTGTTTACAGTCGCCAGACGGCGGATGTCTTGCAGCTTTTCAGCGGCCCGTGTGACGCTGGCGATGCCGCCGAGGGCTTGCGGTGCCCGGCTAAGTCAGCCATCTTCTGCCCGTATTCTCCACGGTCCGTGCACCAGTGGTGAGCCGCCTCTGTGAGTCAAAGGAGAGGTTGAGTGAGGGGAAAAAACGAGACAGGGGGAGGGGCGTCCGCTGAAACATTATATGACGCGTTGATGATCAGAGGTAGGCTATTTCTTCTCGCTTTCCCGCGGAGTGCAATCAGAGCAGTCACATCCACTTAGCGCTGCTCCCTCATGGTGACAGCCTGCAAGCAGCAAACAGGTGCTCACACAGCCACCCAGCCCCACATTGTTCTTCAGGGGAGTCTACAACCTACTGGAGTCTCTCATAATGACATTTGGTCTCTCTATCAGTTACACACTGCACTGCTCCACCGAAAACTCCAAACTGAAGTCAAGGCTGGAAGTTCCAGTGCGTTTATTTGCGTGTGCAGAAAGACAAGCTATCAGTGTTCATTAGAGCAACTGTGCAGGTGTAGTGCCTTGCTCAAGGACACATCGGTAGGTCAGTGGATGTTTTTCTTCAACTTTCTCCTGAATTCAGATAAAGGAGAGAGAGAGAGAGAGTGTGTGTGTGTGTGTGTGTGTGTGTGTGTGTGTGTGTGTGTGCAATCGGCATAGAAGCACAGCCTGAAACCAATCCTTCATCAAGGGAAAAGGTTCAACACTCTCTCATGGCCAAAGGAAACTTTTTAGGTGTGTTGACTTTGTAGAGACTGAACCATCAGGCTTCAGCCCCCGTCCACTCAGAAATCTGTTTCTTCTTGTTCCTACAGTTTGCTGTTTGAATGCTCTATGTGCAGAGTTTGACTCTAGAAGGATGTTTTTACATTGATCTGCTGAAAGTGGAAAGATTCTCTGTGCTCATTGATTTTCATGAGCATGATTTGTGACATCACAAATAGTTTGGAAGTCAACCCTGGTCCAGTATGCAACTTCTACAGTGGGATCCATCAGTGCACATCCACTGAGAATGGACTTTACAGTAGAGTAGGAGACATCTTGTGTCCAGCAGGAAAACTTCAGAAATGAACACAATGTGCATATTCATAGATTCTGGGTTTTGTCTTAACAAATGTCTGGAGGGGATCTTTAAAATAAAGTTTCCTCTTTGCCTTGAGTGTTGCATCGTCTCCCTTAGGTTGTTCCCCTCAGGTGACAACGTGCATGGCACAAATAAGCTTATATGTGTCTCAGGTTTCATTTTGGTACTGCACTTGCGTCAACATTTATCCTAATTAAAAATGTTTGCAGGGATCCCATAGTTAAATTTAGTCATTTTCAGCCTTGTGACAGGCAAAGAAGACTGAGGACTAAGATGCAGCAAAGCTCTCATATAGGCCAGGTTCAAAGCCAAGACATCACACTATGGCTACGTTCAAACTGCAAGCCTTAACGCTCAATTCTGATTTAAAATGTCCATATCAGATTCCAGGGAGAACATTTCATGACGAACGCAGTCCAGTATAGAATGACATAAAAATCACATGAATTCTGATAAGATTCTTCACACTGAGGTCTCACAAAATCAGACCTGGGCCACTTTCATATGTGGTCCAAATCAGAATTGAAAATATCAGATTCCATGTGATTTGTGCTGTTCACACTGTCATGTGTGAGTCCCATATGGTCATTCTGGCCTGCTGTCTAAACGCAGCCTTAGAGCGTTGAAGCAGTTGTGCAATTTGTCACACTCCAATGGTTTAAATAAAAAGGTATTATAAAAACTGATAATAACTGAATGTTTATTTTCCCGCATTACTGGAATGATCTATTATAACCTGAACATGAACATCTCTATTTCATTTGAAGGTTAAAAGACAAAAACTGGGATTGTACCATAACAGTCAGCCATGTGGCTCAGGAGGTAGAGCAGGTCATCCACTAACCATAAGGTTGGCGGTTTAAACCCCGGTTCCTCCTGCTACATGTGGAAGTATCCTTGAGCAAGACACTGAACCCCAAATTGCTCCCAATGCTGTGCATCGGAGCATGAATGTGAATGAATGGATTAGTTCCTGTTTGTGATGCATGTTTAGCGTCTAGTGTAAAAGAGCTCTGAGTGGTCAGAAGACTAGAAAGGCTATACAAGTAGCTACAGTCCATTTATCCATTCTTTTACTAAACAATTATTCAGATAAATAATAGCAGGTCATTTAGACAGTACACAGTCTTTATTGTCCCTAGGGGGAAATTTGTTTTCACAGCCTGCCTGTCTGACAAGGACAATTTACAGATGATATAGACTCTTTATACAGCAGATATTACAGGAAAAGCACAGGTGTAAGTGATAACATTAAAAGCAAGCTAGTACCAGGGTCCTGGTCAAAATGCCTGTGGTGAAACTGGCCTATTCTCATAATATACACACGGCCACATAGGCACATATACATTCACGTGCATACTGTACATCTACTATATGTTTTAATTTTCTGATGCTTTTGCAGAGATCATGTTTTACAGTGGATTTCCTCAGGTAGGGGCCACTCAGTTTATGCAAAATAGAATAATTACTGGCATATGAAACAGATCCATATCCCTTTGATAAATGATTTTACCTGTTTCAACTGTGTGCTACATTTCTCCTGACTTTCGCTGGAATTACAATGAGTTGGCAGGTGGAAAGCCACTGACAGTGCCGAGGGATGCTGCTCATGGCATTGTGACACCCCATTTGAGCTGGAAAATCAGTGGGAACAGGAGCTGTGAACCATGATGCAGGGTCAGGGTGAGACGACTCGTGTGTTACAGTGCTGCTCTTGCAAACCAGCAGCTCACCTGCATCCCAAGATTCCTTCTTTAAGCCTTCCCTCCAATACAGCCGTTTGGTTTAGTGTAATAGTACTGCAATGCTTGATGAGTCTCTAAAAGCAGTAGCTGTAAGAATAAGAAAATTTCTTTGGGGGTTTTAAAGCAGTTAAATAAAGCAGTTGGGGCAATTTGGTACTAAAACCAAATATTGCTGTAACATATATTTCTAAAAACACAAAAAGTGACTTTAGCTATTTCCCCAGTTACGACAGTATGATGCTGAGAGCATATGGATCAATACCGAGTTAAATAACAGTTCTCCTTGAGCATATAACACATGAATAAACAGTATATGTGTTTGTTTTGTAAGTGTATTCAGCAAGGGAGACTGCAGCTCCATGTTATGTAAGCTGTCCTTGACAGACTTTCCCTCCAGTCCAGTAATAAGCAGATGGAGTAGGATTCAATGAAAGCATTGTTAAACCTAACGCTGCCGGGGCATTTCCCTATCATACTGGGCAACTATCATATTGTCACAAGGATTGTATTACATGAACTGAAACATGAGCGGGCAGTTTTTTTTTTTCACAATTTAAACAGTTTTGTTTAAATGGATATTTTCTTTTGTTATTATTATTTGAGGTTTTGTTATTTTGCCACAACAGAAAGACATAATGAAATGGGACAAGAACTAAGACAGATCTAATCCATAAGTGTTTCCACATTGGCGTAAAATCTCACTAAGCCTGTTCTTGATTTTCAGTAATCAGACTTAATATGAAACATGCAGCTGTCCCTGTAATTTAGAATTATTTGACAAAAGCAGTGAGAAAATGTAACTGATGTTTCAGCGTCAGTTAAATTAAAACCAAACTTTGATGCAGTGCTGACTCTTCATCTATCAGAAAAAGATCACAATAAAAATTAACATTACATTACATTAAGGTCTCCTACAGTAACTGAAGAAAACCACAAGTGATGTTCTCCAATGATCAAACATTACAAATGGATCAAATCACAGGTTGGTGTTGCAAATGTGAGAATAATAACATCCACAGCAAATGCAAAGCAGATGGACCCTTACATTACTGTACCATAGATGCTGTTTGAGACCGCTGGTACTTTTTTATATCAATCCCCTCCTGGATAGCCTGCAGCTAAATTTACATTTTATATTTTGCTTAGGTTTACATTATTGGGCCTATATCTTCATGTATTACCAACACTAACAATTCAAGCAATAATCTTTATGTCAGCCCATCTCTGAAATGTTGTATTAACTTACAGTTTATTTTTAAGGCTAATCAACTTTTCCTTGCAGGAGTCATCCCAAAAGGATCAATAAAGAGAAGTCTAAGTCTAAGTCTAACAGAATCAAACATAATTTAGTAAATGCCTTTTTAATGGACACATTTAGTGGTTTAAACAGATTTAAACTTAAAAATTATATATTTCTTAATATTTACAGCTTTATATCAGGTAATTTACCAGGAAAATATAAACATTTAAAATTTTCATAATTTTCATCTCATTGAAGTCAGTAGTAAGATTTGAGGGAGCTACAGGTACTGGACCGGGACTGGCCCCTGTGGGTGTCCCCTGGTTGTTGGTGGCGAATTAATGTTTTCAATGCTTCACAACTGGAGAGATTTCTAAAAGAAGAAGAATTAACACACTTGGTATTTCCACAATCACATTGTGCCATTGTTTCCAGTGGTGGACCAGATGTGACCCAGCTGTAGAAGTTTATATTTGACTTAGCTAAAGTGACGCTTTGTAAATCTTTTTCTTGCTGCATGAAGCCCCGGAGAGTAAAGGTGTATTTTATTCTATCAGTGTGGAGCTGCTGCTGCTGCTGCAAGGAAACAAAGCAATGGAAAACTATCTGACTTCTAATGGAGTTCAGCCGGAAGTGCTCTCCTCAGAACGGGGCGTATCGGAATGTGACCGACCAACGAACGTCATTACGTTTCTCGACGTAACGTATTACGTGTTTCAAGATGGCGGCTCACAGTGTCAGGTCGTGTGTTGTGAAACATAGCTAGTTATTCATACAGTGTCATTATGTTGGACCTTTTAGAATAGCACATTATACGTCTTTATAAACAACACGGGTGTGCCACTGTTTGCGGACATGTCACAGCGCTAGCGGCTGAGTCTGGTGAGAGAATTTAAAGATGGTGGCGAGTACCTGAATGGCACTTAAAGTCACAAACTAGAAAAACATTAGAGTCAGAGAGAAAATGCTTCCAGCTACATGGTCGCGGCTGTCCCACAGGGCTCTGTCCTGCCGGGGACAGAGGACGCTGAGTCTGTTCTCCAGCTCAGGACCTTCAGACTGGACTAAAGTGGTCTCCGACGCAGAGAAGATCGTCGGGTATCCGACCTCCTTCATGAGTCTCCGCTGCCTGCTCAGTGATGAATTCAGTAATGTTGCCATGCACGTCAGGAAGCTGGTCGGGACTCGACACCCTTTACTCAACACTGCAAGGTAACCCTGCTCAAATGACCCATGTGTCCTCTGACCTCTGACTTAGACCTTTATTCTGCATG